TGGACTGAACCCTCTGAGACCACTGGAGCAGCCGACCATGGACTGAACCCTCTGAGACCATGAGTCAAAACAAACATTTCTTTTTTCACATTGCTATCTCAGTGACGTGAAGCTGAACACCTCAAAGGGGATCCACAGTGATCATTCTCTTGTGTAAAAGGGTCATCTACCCAACACCTTTCTTCTGGATTCCTACGTCCAGCATCCCAACCAGGAGAGATGCCAAGCCCAGGCAGAGACCTTTGGTGGGTTGTGAAAAATCAAAAACAGGTGCTGATAAGAAATGGGGATTTTTGGAGAAAGAAGAAAAAATGTTCTGAAATACCAGTATGATGGAGATAGGGATTCCTGTGTTTTCACGGTTTTATACTCTTTACGTTGGCCGGGAACATGCCTGGGCTGGACATAAGAATACAAATGTCTTTCCTTCCTGAGGTCTGGAATTGATGCTCTGTTCACCTTGCCTATCCTGTCTCTACTCCATACATTCACAATCTGGCTCAGCCCTGCTTCCATTTTGCTCCGTTCCTATTTTCTTCTATGAAGCTACCTATATTAGCTAGGTTTCTCTGGAGAGACGACAAATAAGATGGATAGATGGATGGAGAGCAAAGGATAGATGACGGAGACTAGAGACAGAGACAACACGGCAGATAGATGATAAACAGTCGGTAGCTGTGATGAATAGATGCAGTATTGAGAAGAGAAAACAGAGATGGATACATGGATAGATGGCAGAACAGATTAACAATAGATAGCTGAGGATGGAGAGAGACTAGAATAGAGGAGATAGGGAGATAGATGATGGATGATCGGTAAATAGATGCCATAGTTTAGATCTACAACCTCCCTCAGAAGTCTCATGTGTGCACAGATGGAGCTTTTGAGAGGTGACTGGATCATGGGGGTTTATAATCACCAATGGGTCAATCCACTAATGAATTCATAGCTCTCTCTTTCTCTGTCTCTCTGTCTCTGTCTGTCTTTCTGTCTCTCTTTCTCTCTCTCTGTCTCTGTCTTTCTGTCTTTGTCTCTCTCTGTCTCTCTCTCTGTCTGTCTCTCTCTCTCTGTCCCTCCCCTTTCTGGCCGCCATGATGTGAGCATCCTTCCTCTGTCAGGCCAGTCCACCATATTGTTTCCGTGTCTGAGCCTGCAACACAGGCTGCAACTTCTGAAGTTGCTAGCCCAAATCAACCTCACCCCTTTCAACTGTGCATGTGTTGAGTATTTGTGGCACCCATGAGCAAAGTGACTCAGACAATGGAAGAAAGAAGATGACTTCTCCACCTCCCTATGCTCGGCCCCTAGAGGACAACCTGCCGTATCTCTTTGCTAAACAAATATTCTCTGGGTAAATGAGCAGAGTTTTATGTACTAGGCTGCTGGATTATTCCTAAGCTAGCTCTGCAGCTGTGAAGCAGGCTTTGTTGTTCGGACCGATGACCTTCTCCCAGCATGGCTAAGCACTAGTTGTGTCCCCCGTGCTCTCCCAGGACCTCCCTCTCAGCCACAGAGAGGAGTCTCATTCTCCTTCCCATGCAGTGGGGTGGGTGTTTGTTCTTGCTGTCACGGAGAGATGCTGGGGAGGACAGGTCACATGACTTGTGGTTCTGTACCCGTGATGAGTTCTGCTGGATTTCCTGTCTTTCCCTGGAGACACGCACCTTGGGAATCCAGCTCTTTCTGGCAGTCAGGGTGCTGGGAGGTCACCCAAGCCATGCAAAGAGGTCATGTGTGAGTGTTTTGTGTGGCCATCTCCCAGACATCTCAGTGAGGGTTCATCTCCTGGGTCACAGTCTGTGGAACTGGCTCCATGCTTGGATTCACGGTCCCTGGCTGCCATCTTGAATTTCTTGGTAGAAGTTTGGAGCAGGGGCCTTGGGTCTTCCTTCTGCACTGGTCCCCACAAGCTATGCTCCTGGTTCTTACCTCAGCCGAGAGCCAGGCTCATCTGTCAGAAATAGATGTAAGCAAGGTTCTTCCATGTCTGGGCTTCTACTGGAGCAGAAGACCATGATGGCTGGGATTTGTTCCACTGCCTGTTTGTGATAAACATACACACAGTGGCTGTTTTAAACCTTCCTGTCTGGGGAAAGGCGATGGCGTGTTGCTACTGGAACAATGATATGCCAGAAATGATGAGTGCATGGATTGTTGCTATGTACCATCCTCTTACACTGGGTGTGTGTATTAGTCAGCTTTTTGTTACTGTGCAAAATACCAGGGGCACCGTTTAAAAAGAAAAGGGTGGATTTATCTCACTGATGTGGGTCCTGAATGTCCAAGTGACAAGGACGGCGCGTGTCACTTTGCGAAGTCACTGCACGCTAGTTGACAGTGCATTCCTAGGAAAAAACAGTTACAGTTGGACTTGGGGGGTCCCCCAGAGCTCCTAGGGTGGGGCCTTTGTCCCCAGAGCAGCAGTGTGCAGAGGCTCGGGGTATGGAGGGTGGCTGGATGAGGCCGGTTGTGAGATACTGAGGGGATCGGTCCGTGGATGGCTGTGTGGTTTGGCGGCATTATAGGAGGTGGCAGAGACTCAAGGGGAGGGCTGCTCGCAGGAAGGAGTTCCTTGGCATCACTCCTTGGGAGCATAAATCGTGTCTCCACTTCTCTCATTCTCCACACCCGTCCCCCGTGATGCTGGGGGCCCTCTGCAGGCCTGAAAGCCATGGAGCAAGCCATGGGCTGGAACCTCTGGGGACATGAGCCAGAATCAGTTTCACTCTCTTTAAGTTGCTGCTCTCAGCTGTTTTATCATACTGCTGCAGATCTGATTCACACAGACCCTCAGCGACTTAAGGACACCCTGCGAGGCCCAGCTCCTAAACTTTCATCAGCTCCCACCTCCCAACATCAAGGACCAAGCCTCTGAAATGTGGGTTCTTAGGGGACAAACCCCATGCAAACCGTAGCAGTATTTGTTTATCTATCTTGGCTGTGCAAAGCAAAATGCAAGCAGTTTCATTGTCTCAGTGTGTGAACCATGTAACAACCATCGTCCAAACTGTCCATCCATCCACCCACCCATCCCTCCACCCATCCATGTACTCACTCACCAACACATCCATCCATCCATCCACCCACCCACCCATCCATCCACCCATGCATCCACCCATCCACCCAGCCATCCACCATCCATCCATCCACCTGTCCATCCACCCATCCATCCACCCACCCATCCACCCACCCATCCATCCATCCATCCATCCACCCATCCATGTACCCACTCACCAACACATCCATCCATCCATCTATCCATCCACCCACCCATACATCCACCCATCCACCCACCCACTCATCCACCCATCTATCCATCCACCCACCCACCCATTCACCCATCCATCCACCCACCACCCATCCATCCACCCACCCATCCATCCACCCACATATCCATCCATCTACCCACCCATCCACCCATCCACCCGTCCATCCACCCATCCATCCACTCACCAACACATCCATCCACTCACCAACACATCCATCCACCCACCCATCCATCCACCCATCCACTGTCCATCCACCCATCCACCCACCCACCCGTCCATCCATCCACCCACCCATCCATCCACCCACTCAGCAACACATCCATCCATCCACCCACCCATCCATCTATCCACTCATCCATCCATCTACCCACCCATCCATCCATCCACCCATCCACCCACCCATCCACCGTCCATCCATCCACCTGTCCATCCACCCATCAATCCACCTATCCATCCATCCACCACCCACCCATGAGATCATTTCTGCTTTGCATGTCCACAGTGGACAATCCTGACTAGTGTGTGGATACACCACCAGGAACCAAGGTAGAAACCATGTTGAGACTCCTCAAAGCCCATTCAGACACCGAAATATGCCCACATCAACGGACTGCATGTGTGCTCTTTGGATACATCTGTGATTCAGGACACCCCAGGACGGCTCCCTCTGGCCCCTCTCTATGACCAGCATAATCAACACTGGCCAGGGGCACCACCCAGCCCCAGGTCCTGGATAAGAAGGTCCTAACAAGCCGCACCATCCTAACCCACAGGGCTGTTTATCTGTTGAAGCAGACTTGGAGGCAGACAGGAGTCAAGTTTCAGGTACACACTTCTGGGAAGCTGATCCTTGATTGTGAGCCAGCTCATCCAGTGAGCTTTAGCTGTGTTTACAAAGTAGGCCACTGTGTTGGATGCAGCTGTGCCATGACTCTTCACTTCGGCAGAACATCCAATTTGTGTCACAGGCAGGAAATAAGACACGCCTAAGGTCACAACCCATCTTTTTGTAAAATTAACTAAATTGCTGTATTAAAAATGGGATTGGACTGCAGACAGGCTTAAGCCATGAAGTTTCCAATGTATCAACTCTAGGCTACAACACAGTCTTTATCTTTGCATAAAGGGAACTCAGGGGAAAATACCTGTGACCAGTGAGCTGTCAGGAGGCACCGTGGAGGGAGGAGGCTGCCCTCGAGAGTCAGGTAGGAGTTGGATCTCACCCTGGCCGGGCACTGGGGAGTGGTGCCCCTGGCTGTGTATTCAAAAAACTGGAGTCATGAGTGCCATGTCCTGGATCCACAGTTGTATCCCAATGTGTGGATGCTCAGTAAGTTGAAGACAGTGCAACAATGTCTGGTAAGAGGTCTCTTTTGGTCCATCCATCAATCCGTCCATCCATTTATCCATTCATCCACCCACCTATCCACCTGTCAACCCATTCAGCCATCCAGACATTCACCCCTGCCAATACCCATTGATCCACCTACTATCCCCATGCATCCATTGCTCCATCCATCCACACACACACCCACCCATGCATCCACCCATCCATGCAACCACGTATCCACCCATCCACCCACCCACCAGTCCACCCATCCATCCAACTATCCATCCACCCACCCACCAATCCACTCACCCACCCATGCATCCAC